AGAATTCTGATAATCTTCATTATTAAATTTATTAATCCCAGCTAATCTAATTTATAGTACACAACAGGCAAATTAATAGCAGCAGAAAAGCCACCCCGATATGACTTAAATATGGCGAAAAAAAAATTATTTTGTGTTTGTTTATTTAGGTGTGTTGAAATTATAGTTTAGGAGGTAATTATTTGGAATGAGTGTGTTTATTTAAGGGATAATTGAAGCAAAAGTCTCAAACTTTTGAAATATTAGCAAAATTTTCTCAAATATTTGATTTGTTGCAACTACCACTCATAAAATTTTCAAACGTTGCAGATGAAGCCCTTCTGGACAGTTTCCATCCACAATTCCGTCATTTGACAAAAAAATTGACTTTGTCCAATTTTTTAATATTTTAAGAAGGGACAAAATAGTAACTTTATATTTATCACATTACATAATTAAATTAAACTAATTAAATTAAAAAAATAAGAAATAATAATTAAAAAAAAAAAGACAATCGTCTTCTTCCTCTCATCCACCACGCCCACCCCCCTTCCCACACCTCAAACCCAAAATCAGCCATCGACCACCTCCACCTCCACACGACCAACATCTATAATGTACATGATGTAGCATCTCGGTCCGGTGAATCAGGTTCCAGAAGTGGCACAAATCCCTGGGCTTGAGATCAGTGACACGAACTAGATCGGAGGAGCGTCGTCGAATGTATTGGCGAGCTCCCTGAGTCGGCATAGTGATATTTGAAAGTAGTTTCCGTGTTTTTGACAGGAACAATGGCGCTACAATCAAGATCCACGATAGCATTTTGGAAGAGCTCAGAAATGAGGTTAAAGTCAAACCATAAATTGGGGTCGAAAGGGGTTGTAGATAGGGGAGAATGTTCATCAATGGGTTCAAGGTTTGGCTCAAGTATTGGTAAGATTTTAGATGAAGAGGAAGTAGATTCAGGGTACTGATTCAGTTCTTCAAATTGCAGTACCAAAGAACCCATTTGCACTTCTCAATTTTGTGTTAGAGAGAGACATAAATGTTGAGAAAATCTGTCGTCGAAGTAGATAACGCGCCTCCAACGATAATTCAAGAGGAACTCCAAAATATATTTAATAACAATCAAAAGAAAATAGAAGACTAAGAAGAAAAGAAGAAAACTTGAATCGCAAAGAATGTTGTCTTAAAAGCTATATTTGCGCCCCCTCGATAATGAGAATGCTAAAAGACCAACACATAAATAGTTTTAGCGGATTTCAAATCAAAAAACCGTGTTGCAATTAGCACTATTGAAACCC